TATCATTACTGTCACGAATATTAGAGTTTAAAACTTTGATCATCATCGACACGGAAGGCTTTTCTCTTTCTTCTCTCCATTTCCAAAGATATTTTTGGTTCGATTGAAATTTTTTGAGTTTTTTTAATCTCACCAAAGCTAAACTAGAATTTAGCACTGCAATGTAAATATCATTTATATCTGTCAAAAGAAATCCTTTTTCAAAAGTTTTCCGTTGCAAAACCCGTGCTTCTCGTTCATTTTACCCGTGATTTTGTCGAGAGCGTTTTTCATCCATCCTTGTATTCATTATTTACAGAATTTTTGAAGATTTTCTCAAAATTAAGCATATATTCAAATTACGAAAATAGGACAGAAGAAGCTAACTGAAAATTTTAAATATTTTAAATTGTTCGATTTTATTAAAGCTAGCAATATTGGCAATTAATTATAAATTGGTTTAAAAATTTTCATGACTTTTGAAAAAATTTTTCAGAAATATTTGCATTTTAATTTACAAAAGCTATTTATGTTTTAATTTTCATTAGTTCAAAATTTTCATTTCAAATGCTTTAGAATCATTTGAAAAGGCTTTATTTTTAATTTGAAATCTTAATTTATAAATTAATATTAATACATAATTAAGTGTTATGTTACGGTTTTTCCTTCTTTTCTTTTATCACAAAATAGGTGCTTTGTGGTTTTGTGCATATTTTCAACTTATAATTTATGCATAGGTACCATTGGATGGATGTGAAACGACCTATAATTCGGATGGCAACCTTGAAAATGCAATCATTGTTCAGGAAAATCCTCTATTTGTAGATGAAACTGATAAGAAATATCTGTTAACATGCATTCCGGTATCTCCAACAACACTCAGGTAACTGTTTTTTTTTTCTTCGAAAATTAGGGAGGTTTTTTTTATGATGAATTTCAATCAATGATGCTAAATAATGTTTGATGATGAAGACTGAAATGCTAACATGGCTTATTTTATGTGCTGAGATTTCTAAAAAAAAACCAAAAAATTATTGAAATATTTTTCTCTTTTTTTTGAAAAAAATTTATGATAATGATGATATTAATGTAGCAATGAATAAATCGAACAAAATAAACGAAAATTTTCAAAAGTTCCATAAATAAATGAAATTTAATAATTAAATGGTCAGCAATGAAGTAATGAGTTAATGAAATGTGAAAAATTTATAGCAATTATATTTTACTCACTGCGATTCTCAAAGTAATTGCAAAAATTAGAAAAGTTGAAGAACTTTCTCCTTAATGTTTAGTAATTGTCATTTAAAAGTTTTTTTTTTGTTCAATATATGAATGCAGTTTTAACTATTTTAAATATTTGAAAATTATTGGAAGTTTTTTATTCATTTATTGTTGAAGTCTTAAAGAGATTACCATAGATACTTGTTAAAAAAGATTTGATGATAGAAATTTATATGTAATAATTGGATATATTGATATCATATAATTTGAGCGTTCGATGAAATTAACCGATTTGATGCTCATCAATATGCAAAAAATTTATCTTGAAATTCATGTTTTTTAACACAAGTAAAACCAGTTTTTTTATTCCCACTATTTTCTTCTTTTCCATATGAAACAATTTAATGAAATTAAAATTAATAACGGTTTTAATTTTGATTAAATTAGCGGAAAAAACAAAATAAATGAAGTCATCTGTTGTTCAAAAATAATTTATAATTTTTGGCAGGAAATGAAAAACAAATCATTGAACAAACTTTTTCTTTTTGTTGCCAATAAGAAGCAAATATTTGCAGAAAGAAAGAAATGAGGAAAAAAAAAACGAG